TTTTTTTTTTTTTTTTTTTTTTTTTTTTTTTTCCCTCTACAGGGAGAATGCCTTCAGATATCATCACTGAAGCTGACCAGCCCCGGATAACCCAGAATTATGTTATTCTGGGCATCTGAGGATTCAAACTTGGGTCTGATTCATAGATCAACCGTTGGTAAATGTACCAAGTTACTACCAACTGAGATAGGCCTAGTACCTGATTCGAGGGGCATGCAAACAAATACTGGGACGGTTTGCCCAGATAGGGACGATTAGTTTTTTTTTTTTCTTTTTCTTTCCCCCCCCCCTCAAGCTCAGGGTGTCGAGTTCTATTTTTGCAACTGTTACATAAGCGTTTCGAGAGGCATCCTAGAGATGTCATCGTGAATGTGACCGGGCCCTGGAATTTGGGCCATCTGGCTCCATCTGGGGCGAGGTCCTACTAGCAACAACATGGATTGGATTGAACGCCTGAATCCAGAAAAGTGCAGAGATTCGAGATTGAACAGCTTTTCTGCATCTCTGCTTAAAACACGTCCAGATTCAGGAACTGAGTCCAATCCTCTTTGCTAATGGGACGTAGGCCCTGGATTCGAACTCGCCCCACCCACCCAGGGGTTGGTGGAAAAGATGAAAGACGAACTCTTTGGGGCGGTTGTGTCAGCAGAGGAGGCCACGAAGTGGGAGAAAGTGGTTAATGAAGATTTAAGAAAAAGTCATTTAGATTAAAAAATACATATTATTAGCATTTCAACAGGTGAAGGGTATACCAACTGACATCAGCCCGTTGGTCACTACAAGAGTTCCAACTTGGGAAACAAAAAAAAATAAAAGAAGAAGAAGCAGAAGAAGAAGCAGAAGAAGAAGAAGAAGAAGAAGAAGAAGGAGAAGAAGACGGAGAAGAAGAAGAAGAAGAGAAAGAAAAAAAAGGGATTACTTACTTGTCCCTTGCAAGTCCGTCGAACTCGTAAGAGGAAGGATTTCACTGGAACTTGTTGTAAGCGTACCGTTTGCGACCGTTTCTTACCGTTTGTTTGTGAGAACGTTTTTCTTTTCCATTTTGCAGGCCACTACTTTTCCAGGCCGGAGACGAGGTCAACTGGAGGAGAGATCCGGCCGTTTGCGAATTCTCGAGAACAGCTTAGCATTGCAGATTGCTTCTGACAGAGACTGTGTCCTGGTGACGGCTCTGCCTATTTCTCCTGTTGGTGCACCAGTGGCGCGGCTCCTGCTTCTACCGAGTTTCCTGGAACGTGCCAGCTACGGGTCTGCTACAGCTACCGGTCAGTTTCTGCAGCTACCGGTCGGTTTGCTGCAGTCTGCAGCGACCGGTCGGTTGGCTGCAGCTTCCAGTCTGGTAGTGCTACCTGGCTCCAGCTGCTAGCTTGCGTTGTCTGTACAACCGAAGCAAAGGCTGGTCGCAGCAGCATCTAGTGAGTGCTGACGCGAGAGACAGAGGACAATGGGGTCGAGACAGAGGAAAATGGGGTCGTCGGCCAGGCTTTTCCTAGCAGCGGCCATCGCCGTCTTGGCCATGGCTGGTTTCCTCGTCGGCCGAGCGAGGGGTTTCAGCCTCTGTAATCATCTTCTGGGGGCTCAGGGACCGTGGATAAATGCTCACGCTACCTTCTACGACGATGGCGGTCGCGGTGGAGCTTGCGGCTATGGCAGTCTCGGCAGCCAGCTGTTCTCGAACCGATTTGCTGCAGGCTCGCCGGCTGTCTATTTAGGAGGATTGACGTGCGGAATGTGCGTGGAGGTCAAGTGCGTTGAGAGCCCAGCCTGCAAAGCCGGCAGCGTCCGGCTCACGATCACCGACTTGTGTCCTCCTGGCGCTCCCAACACACAATGGTGCGGTGGAGGCAAGGTGAGTGAAGCTAGCTAGCTATGGCCGCCGTCTCTGTCACGATGCTTGCAATATCTGCAACCCCTCTTGCGGCGGGGAGTCTTGGCCCCACCAGTGCCAGCTCTGTATTTCGTCCCTCTCAAATGTTTGATCGTTTTTTTTTTTCCTCACTCTCAAACGTTGGCGTCATTGTTTTTCAAACCTTTTTTAGTCTTTTTGGACCATTTCTCTATTTTTTATGCGTGTCATCTCGATCCCAACTTTCCCATGCTAGGGACATCCGTTAAAATTGGAACGATACCGAGAGAGGGGTAATTAGCATGGCCCCTGGGACTTCCGTTTCTTAAAATAGTAACCATACAGATGCATGGGGCAGCGAGAGAAGGGGTCATACATATAGGAGGATGAATATCTGGACCGAGGGGCCACGGCCCGGGAAGTGACGACTGGGTACCACTGCCCAAGGGAGTCTCCAGACCCACCACTCACTACCGTGTTGGCTCCACCTCTGTATAATATGCGAAGTAGTAGAATGGGACATAGACAGTATTCATTGTTGTTCATTACTGGTGGTCTTGTATGATGCTTGCCGGTGATATGCAACGTCGGACTTGTGGCCCCCAGAATAGGAGGGGCCCTGTGTGTGTGTGTGTGTGTGTGTGTGAAATGAAAAAAGAAGAAGAAGTTTCTGCCTCGTTCATCCGATGCATCCACAATTTAAGTTTCTTTCCCCCCAAAAAAATAAAAAAAATTGTTTTTTTGGATGTCACAACCAATGTCTTGCCCGCAGTTTCAGTCTTCCACAATAATTGATGGCTTCCTTTTTTTGTTTTGGGCTTCAAGAAAAGGTTAAACAACACAAAGGGGGCCCGTGCGCTCCCATCTGACGCTGTGTTTTTTGTTTTCTGTGTGTATCCCATCCTGCTGTTCTGTGTGTGTTTTCATTGTCGTTACTTTCTGTTTTTTTCCCCCTCCTTAAAACTGGGTCCTTGCAGCGTCACCTGGACCTCGCCAAGGGCGCTTTCCCGGTGATTGCCAATCCGGGGGCTGGGCACGTTCCTATCCAATTCCGCACCGTGCCTTGCGCACCGTACAACGTACTGACGCTGAATCTGAGAGGCCACCAGTGGTGGCTGGAGGTGACGGCGGTGGGGATTCCTGGGAGTGGAAGGATTTTGAGGGTGGAGGTTGCCGGAAATGGCAGCCCTTGGACGGTCATGAAGCGCGCATATGGAGCTGCTTGGGCCACGGCAGGCTCTACTCTGCGCTCACCTATATCGGTCCGTGTTTCCATATTTGGAAATCTCTGTAAGCTGACGGCCAGGGACTGCATCAAGGGACCCATCTACAATGGAAGAAAGGTTACGTGCGGATACTCCGTCGGGTACTGAGGGCCCAACACCCCCCTTTTCCCCCTCCCCCCCCACTGACAACAGCACCACAGCTTGCTTTTCCTTCTTACTGGTGGTTGCTGCTTCTTCGTAATTTCTTTTAGCTTCTTGTGTGCACTTGCGAATGCCACTCATCCGAGCCCTGCGGAATAGTGTCGCTTCTGCATATTCAGGAATGGGATAAACTGGTGCTGCGATGGAATGCTCAAATGGGAAGACCAGTCTTCACTCCCAAGCAAGTATCGTCACAGGTGCAGGGATTTACGCTCCGTTCCGGCCGAGACTAATTGCGTTCTTGGCGACAAGTTTCTACACATGTAGCAATCCAAGAAAGCAGCCATCTTTGGGGCCTCAGTTGTCCCCAATCCAAGAAAGCAGCCATCTTTGGGACCTCAGTTGTCTCCAATCCAAGAAAGCAGCCATCTTTGGGACCTCAGTTGTAGCGAGGCCTTCCTATGACGTCCAAGACCGGCCATGCCAAAGTTTTGTGACTGAGAGGGAAGGGAAAAGTGTCCACACACATGAATGTCGTTGTTCCCCCCCCCCCCCCCCCCCCTCCCCCCGAGATCTGTAGCATAGGCCAATATTTATTGGCCGTGGTAAACTATGACTCCTGGAGATGGGATGGCGGCATTGGCGGGTCCTAAGTGGAATGCGATGGACAGACACCTGAAAGGTGCAGAGACTAGAAGGATTGACGGCCAATGCATGTATTTTACAGCATGTTCTTTGATATCCAAGTTCACTTCTTATGCACTTTGATGCCATACATGTATCACTATACTTAGAGATTTTTTCTCTTTTCTAAAAGAACCTGGCTCCGCTTACCGTTGGGAGTCATATGAGCATCCGCTAGTATTTAGATTTTTTTTTCAGTAGGATGGAGGAGGTTATGCAAAAGTCTGTAGACTGGGTACTGCTGACATTTTTGGTGGTAGTTTGCTACAGTCTGATCAATATTTTTCCGCCTTTCACAAGGCAAGCTCAGTGTGAGCGGGACGTATGTATTGTATACTTGCTGTTCGGGACATTTCCGAGACATGCAATGAGGAGAATAGAGAACTAAGAGAAGAGGGGGTAAAGAGAAGAGGGGGTAACCTATGAAGGAGAGGGCGATGATGCTGACAAAAGCCAACCCTAGTTGAGAACGCATTCCGGATGTACGGTGGAACATGTGCCTTCCTCATTGTGTTAGCGATGTGAGCACGCTGTGCGCTGATGGATAGTGATGTACATTACAATAGCATGTGCTGTGTGTGTGCGCGGGGGAGGGCCGCTGTATTGCTTTCCCTGTTTTTTGGCAGTAGCCTGATTTTTTTCACCACGTTAGCCAAATGTGACCACAGACAGACGTCAATTTTGTTAGGCAGCCAGTTTACGGTCCGAATCTTTTAGAGGTAGCAGGTGACTCATGTGGTTTTTTCTATACTGGGCCCTATGCTGCGAAACCAGCTTTTTTCTGAGTATGCGTGTAAGGGGAAAGAAGTTTGTTTAGACAAAAAAAAAAAAAAAAACAGGTACTACCTTGTCCTCACCTATTTGTAATCTCATGGATCTCAATGCTGCCAAGTGCACTGTGTCTGTCTGCCTGTCTGTCTGTCTGTCTGTCTATCTGTCTGTCTCTCCCTCTCTCCTTCTTTCTCTCTCTCTCTCTCTCTCTCTCTCTCTCTCTCTCTCTCTCTCTCTCTGTGTCTGTTTCTCTCTCCTTTTTTTTCTGCCATTCCCTCTCTTTGTTTCTTTCTCTCTTTTTCTCTGCCATTCTCTCTCTCTCTCTCTCTCTCTCTCTCTCTCTCTCTCTCTCTCTCTCTCTCTCTCTCTCTCTCTCTCTCTCTCTCTCTCTCTCTCTC